CCCTGTGGGTCATCAGAGGTTCTGGTCCCTGTGGGTCATCAGAGGTTCTGGTCCCTGTGGGTCATCAGAGGTTCTGGTCCCTGTGGGTCATCAGAGGTTCTGGTTCTGGTCCCTGTGGGTCATCAGAAGAGTTTTGGGAGCTGCCTCAGGCGGCTCAGGTCCAGGAGGTTCCCCACAGACCCCTCCGGTTCTCGGACCACCGGGGGCCTCCCGTTGGACCGGTTCTCCTTGTCGCCGGCTAGAAGCTGCCTTTTGGGGCGGAGCTCTGGGATCAGCTGACTCTGTGGGAGGAGCTTCAGGTTCAGGGTGTCCGTCAGCGGCTGCCGGGCCTCGGGAACCTGGTCCTGCTCCTCGTCCTCCTGGATCAGACCATACCTCCTCATGTACTTCCTGGTTGCCAGAGACATGTTGCTGGGCGACAGGAGGGAGTCTCCAGAGGAGAAGGGGGCGGGGACACTGTGGGGGGCGTGGCCTCCCAGGGCCAGCCTGCTGAGCTGTGAGTGGCTCAGGTAGCGCAGGGCGATGGCGTTGGCCTCCAGGCTCAGGTCCACGCTGCCCGCCGCCGCCGGGTCGACGYTCGCCAACGTGCTGACAAACAGAGCAGAACCCGGGTCAGAACCAGGCCGTGGGCCGGTACCGGTCAGGTGGGAGGGAGGAAGTTCTGTTTACCTGGCGTTCTCCACGGCCCGGGTCCGGTTCTCGTCCATCAGGTGGTCCTGGTCCACGGAGACGCCGAGCTGCTGCAGCTGCCTGAGCGTGGCTCGGACCACCGGGTCTCGGAGCACCGGGTCTCGGAGCACCGGGTCTCGGACCACTGGGTCTCGGACCACTGGGTCTCGGAGCACCGGGTCTCGGACCACCGGGTCTCGGACCACCGGGTCTCGGACCACCGGGTCTCCGAGCACCGGGTCTTGGACCACCGGGTTGCACTCAGAACTCTTCTTCTTCTGTTTCCTGTTGGACGAGGAGCCGGAGGAGTTCTGGGACCGGTCGGAGACAGACAGGCTGGACCTCCTGGACCGGTCCTCCACTTCCTGTTTCCTGTCGGACTCCTGCAGACGGCTGTGGAGCTGAGTCTGAAACAGAACCAGAACCAGGTGAGTGGACCCGCTCCTACCTGCTCCTGACAGACAAGGAGTGTTCTGGTACCATCAGGTTCTGGTAGAAGCTCTCCTGCTGGTCCGGAGGTCCGTACATGCTGACGCTTTCTCCCAGAACCGGACTCTGCAGACCGCTGAGGACCAGAACAGTCCAGCTTTAAGAACAATCACAGAACCCGGCAGAACCTTCAGGGGGGGTCTCGTCTCACCTGAGTGGACCGGGGGAGGAGCACGGCGCCGCCCGACCCGCGTCGTGTGATGAAGACGAGGGGCTCGTGGAGGACGAAGGCAGGGGTCCGGGGCTCGGCCGGTCCTCCTCATGGGGGGCCGGTTCTGGCTCGTTCCCCCAGAACAAACTGGCACCTGGAAACGACAGAGCGGTGAGGAAATGGGCGGAGCCAAACGACTCCTTTTAGGCAGCGAGGAGGAGAGGAGAGGAGGAGAGGAGGAGGGGAGGGGAGGAGAGGAGAGGAGAGGAGGAGAGGAGGAGGGGAGGGGAGGAG